GGAACCGGAGGACGGAGGCACTGAGCAGCCGTCCAGGCTGAGGAGATCCCCCAGGCGGCTGGGCAACGACAACCGGGGCGGGGGGGGGGGGGGGGGGGAGGAAGGAAGGAGGAAGGGCAGGACGTACCTTCTCGTTGCTGGCAGAGCTCCCGGTAATGCTGGCGCAGCTTCAGCATCAGCTGGGATCGAAGGAGCTCCACCTCAGGATGGGGGCTCAGCACGTCGGATGGGGGCCGCTGCTTAATCACGGCATTTGTCTGGATATCCAGATCCCAGTACACCCTGTTCCCGAAACAAAGAGAGAGAGAGAGAGGTGGAAGAGTCCACGGCCTACAAAAACCCAGCAAGAGGACTTCTCAGAAGAGCCCTAGTCCACCCTAACCCCTTCCAGAGACCAGGAGCTGTGCCCCAAAGACGAAAACTCACTCTGTGGGTCGCAAGAGCGCCATCTGCTTGTCTTCTGTACAGATGCCCCACATCTTCAACAAGGGAGTCCCAGGGGCACTGGAAGAATTAGGGGCCGGCTGAGCTGTGGGGTTCCCTGCAGCCTCCACCTGCAAGTGAGGAATGCCTGGTCACCTGGGGGAAGGCAGCAATTCCCCCGTTTATTGGGAGCCTCAGGGAGGCAAGCACACCCATCTCCCCCTCCTCTAGATGCCAAGAAGCTCCAGGGCATGGGGAGAACTCGTATCCGGTCCCCAGAGAGCTTCTGATTCGTACAGCCAGCTTTTTAAATAGCTGCAGTAGGCAAAAGAGAAGAACCGCCCTCCGTACCCTTGGTGGAGGAGGCTGCCCTGGGACACCCACCCACCCCCCAACTCCCCTAGGGCCTCAGAGGAAGCCCCCCCCCACTGCTTCATGTTGATTGCCAACCAGCTGGCTTCCCCCAGTCTGGGCTTCCCCCTCCTAGGCTTATCCTGCCCCTGAAAAGCCCTCCCTCACCGTTCTCTGCTTTCCGCCAGAAACCTGAACTCTGCACCTGCCGCGAGAACCCACGGGCACGGGTTCAGCCCGGCCTGGAAGCGCCGCAGGGGCTACCTTGGGCTTCTTTGCGCTGTTGCTGCTGGGCTGGCCCTCCTCAGAAAGGCTCCGCTTCCACGTCTTGGTCTCAGCTGCCGCGACAGCATCGCTGGCTCCCCCTTCTGCAGGCACTGGGGCTGCATTCAGGCCCAGTGGGTCAGACTAGAATGGCCAGAAAGAGAAGAGTTGAGGCCACAGAATCCAACCCTCTCCCCTCCCCCCCCCAAGGTACTGTCAGTCAATCCCCCGCCCTCCTGGTCCTGATGGGGGGGGACACCAGGCAGGGAGGAAGGTCAGGTGTCTCCTGCAAGGGAAAACCAGCCTCTTGCTGGCTGGCGACCCCCCAGGGGGGGCTTGAGCGGCTCCCCGCCCTGACTCACAATGACGTCATGCTGCCCCAAGACTGGCATCTCCCAGAGCGACTGGTTGGTGAAGCGGTTGAAATAATAAGGCCGGTTCTCCCGCTTGCTCCAGCACTTCTCCCAGCCGGCCTGCACCAACTCATCTGAAGGAGAGAGAACAGTTAGGACAGGGGTCACCCAAGGCCTGGTTTGGGGGGGGCGAGGAGAGTGACACGTCCGCCCCCTCCACACCCCTACAGGCAGCCTCCCCCGCAGCCCCCTGGGGCTCTCTCACACCCCTGGCACGTACCTGGCAAGTCCTGCACCAGCCGGACGGGTTTGGGGGAGCTCGGCTGGTTCTGGTGGGAGGTGCCCGGGGAGTGGCTCAGGAGAGCCGCTTCCTCCCGGGAGCTGCCGTGGTTCTCATTGGCCATGATGCAGCATTGGCACTAGAGGGGAGAGAAGGAAACGGGGTCACCAGGCATCCCTGGCACAGCCCTAACGGAGCCCTACCTGCCAGGCTCGCCCTGCTGGGCTTCTGCGTGCCTGGCAGATACATCCGGGCTCCCAGCATCGTGACAAGCTCCTCACAGCAGCGCCACTTAGGGCCAAATGCAAAGCACCACCGTGCCTCAGGGGCATAAATCAATGAGCCACACCTCCCAAGACAGCGCAATTACTGTATTTTCCCATTTATATGACTATACTTTTGTCTAAAATCTTTAGATTAAAAATTGAGGGTCGTCTTATACACAGAAATAAGCTGAGGAGAGAACAAAAACAAGTGGAGGGGCAAGCAGGGATCAAAGCGATCCTGCAGCGCTTTGATCCTTTCCCCCCTGCACTTGCTAACCCCCACTTAGATTTCTTAATGTTGGATTAGAAACGTGGGGGGGGGGTCTCTTATACATGGAAAAATGCGGTAACCACCACCGCCGGCCAGGCTGCAGATGCCAAGTGGAGAGGACACTCTGATCCAGATGCATGTGCAGGCAAGGGCCCTGGTGGCCATCAGAAACGGTGCCAGCCCTCTGCCCCAAAAGGTGGCTTCTTCTTGGGACAGGCACGTCATACCCCATAAACAGGTTCTCTTCCCCTCACCAACTCCTGTGGAGTTGACCATTCCAGGCAGAGCTCCATTCACTGTCACTCAGCGGTCCTCGCCTTCTCTTTTCTAGAGACAACTGGGCTGGTGCCAACAGATCCGGGAGGCATGGAGCCACAACGGTCCGCTAGGATTACTGTGGGAGGCAATCTGGTTTGGGGGCAAGGCTTTTCTCCTTAGCGAGGGATCCAAGCCCAAAAGCTAAATGGTGCAAGAGTAGGGAATCGGCTGGCATGATGCCTGCAGCTGCCTTGCCCACCGCAGCCAGAGCTCGACCTGGAGGACCACCCCAGAAAAGGTGAGCAGGGTGCCTTTGACAACAGACCCCTGCTGTCCCGCAGCATCCAAGGGAAACGGCCAAGGAACCGGGGCTTCTCTCTCAGAGTGTTCTCCCCAGTCAAGCCTCTCAGGGGGCTGCTGGACACTCCCCACAATCAACCAGTACAATGACACCTTAACGAAAGCATGCCGAGTTGCCCGTCTGCTGGCTGAGTTGCTATGCTCAGCATAAAGACGGCCAGGGATCTGAACAGCAGGATGCCTCTCCCACTGTGGCCTTTGATCCATGGGGAGGGAAGCAGGGGCCTCAGTTCAAACAAGACACGGGCAAGGCCTCTGTGGGGAGGACGGCAGCTTCCTCGGGGCACCTGGACCACCAGGGACCAAAAAGGCAGTTCAGCTCCCAACACCCCACCCTCTCGTCCTATGGCCTGAAGACTCATGGGGGGGGGGCATAAGCACACAGGGAACAAGTGACGCGCAGAGGGGTACTCGCAAGTGGTGCTAGTCCTCTCTGAGGCAAAGGGATGCCCATGTCCCACCTGCCTGCTATATTCTTTCCTCCATGAAGGAAGGCAGCTGACCAGAAAAGGCAATCTGAGATCCAGATGCCCTTGCGTGTGCCCACCTCTCACCGGGCAGAGTCGGTCACAGGGGCAGGTTTCTACATTTTCCGAGAAATTGGGTGAAGTGTGCAAACAAGCGGCTGAGAGCGGTTGCTGGAAATCGGAGGTCTGTCCCTCTCCGCCCCCCCCCCCCACCTCGGGACCCCTTTGTGATGCAGGAAGATCAGTGCACTCCGTTGCAGTTTTCAACCCTGCTAGCGCTGCATTGAGTGCAGGAACTGTGGTGCTGGGGCACTGAGCACCCTTGGACGTCGGCCACCATCACCGCCACCACCACCAACCCCCAGCCTGGTTTGGGGCCGCCCCCCAACACGCCAGGAGGAGTGCAGTGGCCGGCCCACCCACAGCCCTCCCTCAACGAGACTGGAGGAACAAAAACAGAACACGGGTGCGACTTATGGCGTGTGGAGGAAGCACAGCCCCGTTTAATCGGAGGGGAGGATGCTGCCAGTCTCCGGCAGAAGAAGGGGCGGACGGACCGTCCCAGAGGGAGGGAGGGAGGGAGCGCGCCTCTCATCGCAGCAGGCCCTGCAGAAA